GTGTGGTTCAAAAGGTTCGGTGGTGAAAACTGCTTCATCTCCTTTTACCTTTAAAGTACATTTGTGGACGGTCAAAACAGCGGTTCTGACTTATCATTCATATGGAGATAAAAGTAAAAATCACAAGTGAGGCTACGTTAAAGACTTAAGCAAACTCAGAAACAGGAATACACACAAAAAGCCGAGATTAAACTACAGAATTAAGAAACCTTGTAACAAATACCAGTGGGATTTTTGATAACTGCATTTACTTAAACTCAGCCTTGTCACAGATTTGCTTTACCTTTTTAGATGATAAAGTTGGATTGTAATTAAGATTAAAAATAAATAAATAAATAAATAAATGTTAACAGTTGTGTAAACTCCCGTTTCCCATGAGCTCTAGCCCCTCTCAGTTTGAAAAGTCAAAAGTTTATTCTGTTAATCTATTTAATAACTGCTGTAATTTTGCTGAGCTATCTAAACTATTCCAGCAAATGTTCACTTGTTTTTGAATATGAAGAATAAACAAAAGAAACGGGCATCATTAGCAAAATGCTGAGTGCCACTACATTTCAGCACACACTGTTACACACCCCACGAACGTTTTCTTTTAGATTATTTTTAAGAACCGGATTTCTGATTATGAGCTGAACAGAACGTCATGGAGAAATCATTCATCTTAGATTCAGTGTTTGTGTATTTGGGGGTGGATGACGTTGCTGCTGTGACTCAGGGTGTTTCAGCAGAGTGAAAGCAGCATTGCCCCACAGCAGGCAACATAGCGTTACCACAGCGACCACAGGCTCTAAAAAAAACTTTACATAAGTCTCACTCACTCACACACACACTCTCTCTCTCTTGCATGTGTGTGTGTGTGTGTAATTGTTGACTGTATTTAAAGCCTGTTTAAACTATAAACTGTTGTGCTCTGATGCAACTATCTGAAAGCTGAAGCACCCATCAGCTTACAGGAAGTTGCATCATGAAGCCTATAGACACACCGACTGTGTAACATGTGAGCAGCGGAGACGCAGAACACGGAGAGATATGATACAAATATAACTTCTCTTACTGTATGTGAAAGTGTTACTGACAAGTGTTCAGCGGACAGAAGGGGCCAAGTCAGAGTGTCACCTGCAGAGGGCGCTGCAGTGCGGTCACGGCCTCTAAAATTAAACAGCCAAATTACCAAACACTGAATGAAACATTACTTAATCATTAACAATAGTGTGCTCCTCTTCATAGTAACTGTTTAGGATTAAGGATTTCTGCAATTTTTAAGAGCTTTTTAATGCTGCATAAATTGAGACTCTTCACCCTTTTATCATACTGACCATATAATGACAAAATGCATTTATAAAGGTGCAATGCACAGATACACACGCCTGTTATTAGTGCTAAGTAAGATACTAATAAATTACCAGAATCTCAGAAAATCACGTTTAAAATGCTCCAGAAGTAACCAACAAGAAAAGCAAAGTAAAGAGGACAAGTTCAGTGATTGAATTAGTGGAGATGAGATGAGGCCACCCAGAGGTCAGATTGGGGAAAAAGTGTCAGAAAGCGAGGGTTTGGAGCACTCTGAATCCTGGCCTTTTGGCTCACAGGTATTACTTCTAGATATGGTGGCTTTAGTCATTGAAATATTGGCTGTGTTTAATTGGGATAGTTTGGGACTGTACTTGCTGCAGCATATTACATGGAAGTGTACATTAACCTGATGATGTCTCCAATCACAGATGAGCGCCAGCGTGTCTACAACCAGATCTCAGCTGTGTCTTAAGAGGCTTCTGGACGAGCCTCAAGGCGATTCACTGAAATGTAAACGAGCCCGTCTGGCTCCACCCCCTACCTCTACTGGGATATCACCCTGCCTGAGACCCACAAGCCCCGCCCCCACATCCAACTCGAGCCAGTCTTCATCAAGAGTTGGGTCATATTTCCTCTTTGAACGGTGTGAGAGGGAAGAGACCTACAGGGCTGTGCATGTGCACACACAGCAGCAGTACACCTGTCAGGTAACACTCAGAAAAATGTCAATGTTACTTTTAATAAGAATTGAATACATGTTAAAAACTGTACTGTCGATACTACAGAAGTAGTGTTAATGATAATAATAGGAAGAGATTACTGTAAAACACTTGTGAAAGTAGTGACTGTATTGTACATCATACTACGTTACCCATGACAGTCACTCCTTTTTTTCCCCACAGGTGCTCCCACTGCGTGGATACCAGGAGCGGTTGGCGGCCTATGACCGGATTGGTAAACATGAAAACATCTGCGCTCTGCAGGACGTTGTAATTGGCCAAAACAAGGTGTATGTCTTCCTGCCTGGTCACCACGGTGACATGCATGCGTATGTGCGCAACAGGAAACGCCTGAACGAGGAGGAGGCGGGGCTTTTGTTCGCCCAGATGCTGAATGCTGTCATGCACTGTCATGACCATGGAGTCGTTCTGAGAGACCTGAAGCTCCGCAGATTCGTCTTCATCGACAAATACAGGTGAGACTCCGAGACTGGTGCTTTGGTAATAGCACTATTACAGCAGTAATACCTGGGACTGTAAAAGACAGATGTAGGGCCCAGGTGGAAGTGCTGTGAAATATTAACTTTAATGGCCTGCAGGGGGAGACTCTTGTGGTTACAAAATACATTCACGAGGCATATCATAAATGGATACAGTCCATTCACGCTTACATTTGTAGTCACAAAGGTCCATTTTGAGGGAGTCTAAAAGAATGCATACTACTCCCAACAAATGGACAAGTATAAATATCGCTAGATTGATCTTACTAGCATGAAGGAGGCATATGGGGGGAAAAAAAAGTACCTCTATTAGTACTTTTACTGTATCTTACAAATACTACAAATACTGCTGCTGATAAACTTCTGTCTGACTAGTGTTTTCTTTTTCTTTTCCCAGGACTCGTCTGGCACTACTCGGACTCGATGACTGCGTGCTCCTGCATGGTAACAACAACGATGACTCTCTAACAGACAGACATGGCTGTCCTGCCTACGTTGGCCCTGAGCTCCTGACCAATGGGAATGGGTCGTACTCAGGCCGTGCCGCAGACATCTGGAGCCTGGGCGTGTCTCTGTACACAATGCTGATTGGCCGATACCCTTTTCAGGACACGCAGCCTGCTGCGCTGTTTGCTAAGATACGCCGTGGAGCATTTAGCCTGCCCGATTGGATGTCGCCAGAGGCCAAGTGTCTGATTGGCTGCATGCTAAGGAAATCTCCCACTGAGAGACTGACGGCATCTGAGCTGCCGATGCACCCGTGGCTTACCAAACCTCGCATGCCACACAGCAACATGCACAAGATACATCACAGCTCCCACACAACACTACAGAATAAACAAGAGGACAATGACCAAGTGGTGCCAATATGGACTGAGACAAATTAAAAGACATCTCTATTTCCTTGTGAGGACCTGAACTGCTATACTGAATCCCTGCAGCCTAAACCTGATTCACACTTCAGGTGTAAAACCTAATCTGGACTATAAAAACAGCGTCTTCGGGATGTGTGGCTCCGTCCTCACACTCAAAACTCCAAAGAGGTCTTCACAGATATAGACACATTAAAAGCACAGCCGCACTACAGAGACAGTCTAATCCTGGATTACTTGACCCTTATGTGCCTTCTTTCTCTACCTGTGTCTCAGTTCAAGCCCGGCCTCTTTTAGCTGGCAGGGCCTCCAAAGGTGGTTTTCTTTCTCAAATTTTCCTTACAGTGGACTCCCAGCAGTCACTTGTTCCAGCAGTAACAGACACAAATGAGAACTAATGGTGTGTTCAGGTGCACATCCTCAACAAGTGCAGTGGAGAATATCCTACATCCCAATCTGCCCAACTAACATGTACTTGAGCAATATGATTAAGCAACTGTCATCTACTAGACTGCCCCTCATAAACTGAAGGTTTGAACAGCAGATGGGTGTGGCTTCTGTGCTCAGTGCTATCAAAGCTGTATATTAGGCATACTTGGCCTCACTGACATCACATAGAGCCAAGTACTGCAATAAATTGCTAAAATAGTGTTTAAAGGAAGGTTATGTATACATATGTTGACCTTGTTATTTGAAAATGTTAAAGGTTTAGCATTATATTTTTATATATAACAATAAGGCATAATAGGTCCCCTTTAAGGGCAAAAAAATGTACTTGAGTGTGTTGAGAATTGCCCTGAACGCACCTTTATATTTAAAACTGTGGACTCAAAAGGAGGTGGAGCTTAAAACGGGACATAGCTTTTTTTGTTTCAGTGTTTACAATGCTGATTTCCTTCTGTGATTGTGAGAAAGATCAAACACATCTTTCTGAAAAACATTAGGAACCAGATTATACGGTAATTTTTTTTAATATAAAAAATGGCATTGAAAAGGAATACAGCTTCAGCTATCAGTGTTCTCATCCATTTTTACACAAGCAGAGAGCAGCCATGGTTGATAAAATATTTTTCAGATCTTAGCAGACCTTAAAATCAAAATTTCATTGGGTAATTTAATATAATTGTTTTTTGTGGACTTATAAAAAAACCCTGTATCTCATAATAATCTCCACAAATTATTTATATTTTGATACAAACTTATAAACTGTTTTCTCATGTTTGACATTTATTTGTGAATGAATAACAACTGTTTATTCTGGGACACATCTTATTCTCTCACAATGTCACTGAGCAATTTAATTTGGGAATAACAGGATAAAGGAGAAGCAACATTTGTTGACTCATTAAGAAAATAATGAAGTGATGATCTTAAGATAATGGAATACGATTAATCCTCACTTACTGGTCTTGTGTGTCTATTGAGGATGATAATAATTAGAAACAAACCTCAACTCAGACAATAAGCTGCTTCCTGGTATGCTGTATGATTCTGGTTCCAACTTACAGATGACGAGAAAAAAAATAAAGGTTTTGAAAAATGTTTTGGTGTCAAAGTTTTTTTTTGTTGAATTTTAATTAAATAAACTTGACGTGTTCTGAGCCTGCATATGGTCTCTTTTACATGTACACACACAATCCCCGTATTATCTTAAGACAACATTTTTTCAAGTCTGAAGTGTACCTGTACCAGCATTTTGGTATCATTGGCTTTAAATTTTACACCCTTAATTTTTAAACATAATAATACAAATAATACATGTTTGTATATAACTGTGCAAACAAGTGAATGACCCTTAGAGGTGCTAGAAAGAGAGACTGTTGACCTGTCTGTGCAAGTGCAAAGTTTAGGGTAGCTCCATATTCAGAGAGGGTTTTGGGAAAAACTGATGAAATTTCCAAAAGTGGTGCAGAGTATCATCTGCTAATCATCCAGTAATAAAGAACTGGAGAGTTGCAGTAACTGTTTCATAGTATTATAAATTATACAGCAGTTAAGAAATTCCACCCTTTTTTTTTTTTTTTTAAATATCAGTAGTTGTACTGATATTTGATAGTTGTGGGGCGATACCCAGCTACATATTAGTTGAAAGCACAGAGAAATAAAAGAGTAGCCTTGACTTTAACAAAGAAATTAGGAGAAGAGAAAGAAAAGAAAGATTACAAGTAAACATAAATACTGACAGGAGATTTTTCCCCCCTCACCTTCATGTTTTATTATGAAATCCCACCTGAAAGCAGAGTAAACACTCTGTGTTCATTACTTCAGTCAGACCTCTGACTCACCTCTATTCCATTTCTGTGAAACCTTCACTTCACTTAGAAGTCTGATAAGAACCACAGGCTGCTCTGTCCTTGTTCCAGTCTAAAACACATTGCATCAGCAGTCAGTAAACTGTCCCGCATGCGTCACTAAATCAAGAGGTCAGTGGGAGCAGCCATTTAGGAGCCGGCGTCAGTGTCCATGTCATCAGCTTCATCCCCCTCTGAGCGGCAGATCTCGTCCAATGCCAACTCTACAAGATGTGAAAGATGGCAAAAAAATGTGACAGTTTTAACGTATGAGAACACAAGAGCAATCGGGTAAGGTGTAGAGATGGCACGATACCACTTTTTTATGTCCGACACCAATATCATAAATTTGGATATCGGCCAATACCGATATGAATCCGATATAGGGTGTTTTTTAATCAATAAAACTGTTTTTTTAATATCTTGCTGCTTTTTGTATAAGTTCATACTCAAGTTAAAAAACCCCAAAAAAATCCACTAAAGCTATTCCTGTTATACCTGTATGCAAAAACTGCACTGCACCCAAAATATTTCATAGTTCAGCAAAACCCATCGATCTAATAAACTTAAACCTACTCCATCCTCCCTATTCTAGTATTTTAAAGAGTAAGCAACCTAACTAATAGGGCTCTAAAACTCCCAGCAAAAAAAAGAAAAAAAAGAAAAAAAAAAAGAGAACCACCCCCCACCTCATGATGCTTAATCGGCGTAATCAACTTTAATTTGATGCAGTGTGCAAAAAAATGCCCAGAAAAAAATTATTTTTCAAGAATAATTAAATAGATTTAACATCTTTCTTCAACAGAACTGCAGACTGCACAGATGGTACCTTCCCAAAGGAAAAAGTACTATAGCTTACTAGGGTATATTAGACTTAATAGTTTCTATATACAGTAATGGACTTCTATTGATTTTATATCAGTTTAAAACTTTGGGTGTAAGATTCTGATAATAATTTAATAAAAGCTAGACATTTTAAATGAGAATAAGAAAGAAAAGTATGTCTTTGTGCCTCCTTCTCCCTGTTCATGCCCTATCGGCTCCCCCGCCTAAACTTTGCTAGACCCGCCCCTGCACAGTTACCAGCCGTCAGCTGCGTAGAAAAAGATCCTGGTCTAGAAAGTAATATTAAATACATTCTAACAACAGATTATCAAGCTTAAACGTGCTGCTGTTATTCAGCCGCTGGTTTCCTCTTTTTGGTGCAAAGTGGGAGACAAACAAGCAAGAGAGACGGACTCGCGACAGAAAAGCCGATCAGCTGATCACTGATCAGTTTCATGATTGAAGTAGCAGCAGGAGACGGAGGGGGAGAGAAGAGGCAGTCGCTCCATATATCGGTTGTTAAGCTTAACGCAGGAATGCTTTACAAACATTCAGAGATGAACTTACACACTTGCTTTACTTCTCTCTGGGATCACTTCCTACCAGGTGAAATGCTGGTTTGGTAGCGAGACTACAAATACACACAGCCGCTCTATCACGTGAGCACACTGCGCTACGGTTATGAGGAGAGTTACGCCGTGTCGCAAGTTTTGTGAGGTGCTTTTTTGATATTTAATGGATCGGATTACATTTTTTATTTCTCTCCAATATCCGATCCAGTAATCTACATCAGTATCGGACCGATACGTAATATTGGATCGGTCCATCTCTAGTAAGGTGTAAAATACTGGATGATGTAGCTAGCAGTCATACTAAAATGGTCAAATTGATAATATCAATGACATTCAGACATGATTATGTTTTATTATGAGCAATGCACACTAAGTAGCTCTGACGTGGAAGACAGACAACAAAGAGAATTAGTTTAGATCACTCAAAGAGAAGCAGACCCATAAAGCTGCATCATGCATTAAATATGGAGAAAAAAAAAAACAGAAAGCCATCCTGTCATGTTGTGCTGATGAGTATTTGTTTTCTTTTCTTTCTTTTCGTTTTGCACTACAGCAATACTAAAGTTACATTTAAATATCCAGTGATCCTGGTACATACAGCTAGATTTAAATACTGATGAACAAATAAAAAGCTGTTTAGGTTCGGAGATCTCATCAGGATGCCCCCCCAGAACCTGTCTTTGGATGTTATCTGGGCACGTTTAGCTTTGAGGAGACCCCAGGGAAGACCCACAACTTACGGGAGGTTATAAATATATGATGTGACCTGTGAGCACCCAGCAGCTGCAGCAATGGGAGGTGGAAAATGTTGCTGGACAGAAGGTGCTGTTTCTTTCCTTAACTTTTATTTCTGGCTTTTCTGATATAATACAGGAATAACGGAAGGTGGGAGAGAGAGGCGGAATGACATGCAGCGAATAGTGCGGGGGCAGTTGAATATAGGAGTGCTGCACTAAGGATTTTAGAGTTAAATTTATGGAGCACATGCTCTACCAGGTGAAATCCAGAAGCACCCCAAACCTCAAGTTTAATACCAGCATAATCACAGATCATCAGGTGGAATTCTAGTATAAAAATGGTTTGACAACACGTACTACCAGAGATGCCTCATCACACAACTGAAGACAGACATGTTGTTATCTAACAGCTAAAATTATCTGCGTGATACATGTAAGATTCGAGGTGGTAATTAGTCATATCCAGGAGGGGGTGTGTGAGGAAAAACTCATCATGCTCTTAGCGGTTAAGAGAAAGGAGAGCCAAAGCTCTTCATACAAAATTCAGCTATGTTTGAGTTGGTGTATTCAGGTGTAAACAGTTATAGTGGAACTTAAACATCACATTAAATCTTCCTAAATAGTTTAAAAGATTAATTCAAGGCTTAGATTCAGCGTGCATGTTTCTGTGCGTCCATACCCTCGCTCTCGGTCAGATCCGGGATCTTCCTCAGCGTGTCTCGTACAGCAGGGATCACCTGGTCGTACATGTGCAGCAGCGGCCTGCAGCTCTCGGAGAAGCTGCCATGATGCAGAAGCAACCAATGCAACAGCAGCACACACTCTCTGAGCAGAGATGCCGCTGAGTTGTGCCACCATGGCAAAGAGGAGCTACAGCATGGCTGCAGAGGTGAGGCACACCCTGGAACAAGAAGCAATGCAAAGAAACCGTGTTTTTAGAGACAGACTGTCAGAATTATTATAGTTTTGTATTTATTATTGGGTTTGTATTGTTATTGTCATTTTGATTTTCAGTTGATTCAGTTTAGTTTTAGTTCATTTAAAGAGTGTATTTTCTTATTTCAGTTTCATTTTTATTGTTTGAAATATTTAGTTTTAGTTTTTATTAGTTTCAGTGTTTGTTTTAGTCTTTTTTATTATTATGGTAAGTAGATCAGAGGCAAGATTTCAAAATAAATGCAAGTATTACGATAAAAACCTTTCCAAAGCAAGTTGACTCAGATTCTTATAGACATCCAGAACTTCATCCATCAATGGCTCATCAGCCAAGTTGTAACAACATTTTATCAAAAACTAAGGATAATTCCGTTATATTTTTATTTTATTTATTTTTCCAAGTTCCAAA